TAACAGCTTGATAGCTTGATTGACATAGTGGTGCAGTCTTGGATTCCATGCAATTTTTTTATTGTATATTTTAAATAGAATTAATCATATGTCTTTAATAAAACAAACATGACTTAGCTATTTAATCATTTCCTTGTATGTGAACACCTCCATCCATCAAATATTCATAATAATCATGATTATTATTCAATACATTTGATATTATAATTGACATAACAAACAATTTCATCGCCCATAAGATTGCTTGCCGAAACCTCTTAGCAACTGTCAAAGCTCTGTCAAAACCCTAATGAACAATTAATATATACCTGTCAAAATCTGACAATTGACAAAACCCCCAAATGCGAAACTCTGCTGAAACTCTAATAAACAATTAATGTGTAACGTGTCAAAACACTGTCAATTGATTTCTGGTGGAGTTTCTTCTGAAATAATGGATGCAAACTTGTATGTGGAAATTGTTGGAAGACATATTCCAGAGATCAATGAAATGATTGGCGATTCCACAAGACAATGATCCTAAACATACTAGCAGAATTGCCGAATCATTTCTCAAGAATGGGATAAATTATTGATTCAGTCCTAATTAATTTAGTGAATCCAATGAGAACACGTTGTGAGCTTGTTATTGAAAAAAATGGTGAAAAAATACCATATTAAATTATTATTAAATAAATATAGAGGCTTCAATGTTTCAAATGAACTATCCTGTATCAATTTTCATTTAATATATATATCAAAATTTATTTTCCAATTTTTTTTATATATTCAGGAAAGGAGAAAGAGACATTTATCATTGATTAATATTTATATTTATATTTTACATGGGACAATCTTATGTAGAAACAAAGGTTATAAAACCGTTAAATATTAGTGTATACATCTATTTATCTATTGAAATTAATCTGCGATTTTTCTTCTTTTTGGTTGTCTTTTATCTATATAAAAAATAATAAATAAAATTAGAAAATATTAATTTTCCATTCGCAAATGATCAAAGTTTACCTTTTTCAATCGATGCTTTATTTTTTTCAGGAAACCGATCATTAACAACAATGTCTCGTACAGCTTTAAATTTTCCTTTATTTTTCCTAGATGTCTTTGCACTTTTTCTACTACGCTTACTTGATTTTCCCTTACTATCATTATGCGGTTGATGGTTATCGTCATTGTTTATCGCGCTTGACGTTAAAAATTCATCCCATGCAATTTCCAATGCATCTAAATCTTTCATCCAAATATCTGTAGCCGTCATGTTTGAAATTTCAGTTAATTCATCTTGTAATTTTTCTTTTTTTTCTTTATATTTATCAATCTATTTTTTTTTTTAATGAATATATATATGCATCATTAATAAAACAAAAAAAAAGAATCTTATATAAATATTACCAATTAATTAATTACCTCTTCTCTACTAAAAGTCCAACATGTCATTTTCATTAAATAATTATATCCTTTAATATCATTATTAAGTTCAACATCTGAACTTTCTAATGTATTATCTGATGGCAATAATGATGAAGAAGACGACGATGATGAAGGGACCGATGGTGATGGTGATAAATCATCCTCGTTATAAATTTTATCAAAATCATGTGATTCAAGAAGTTTTGTGATTTCTGATTTCTTTAAACCTTCGAATTTAATTTCATCCCCAAGTTTCATATTAATAAATCTAATTTTATTATCCATTATATTCATCTTTTGTTGTAATTTTCTAATTAAATATGACTATAAATATGTATGTATGTATGTAGTATGTATGTTAATATGATGACGGTAAATTTGATATAAAAAATTCGATTAATAAAAAATTCAAAAGTATAGCTTACCCTTCTTTTTACATAAAAATTTAATCTTACTTGATAGAATTCTTTTAATATATCTTCTGGTGAATCATATTTAGCTAATCTATTATTTAAATCAAAGCACATCATATTTGTTGTTGCCATTGGATTTGTTAGTTGGAAAATCTTTTCAAGTCCTTCTTGATTTTCAGCTTTTTCCATTTGTTCAATAGTTAACTCTATCTCAAGATCTACCTTTTCATTTGTACAATTGTTTCTAACTATATTCTAAATGTCAAATTAATGAAAAGAAAAACAATTAATTATTAATTATTATAATAACCAAATTTAATGATTGTGTGTGTGTGTACCTTAATCGAACCATTTTCTCTAAGATCAGTAAGAACTTTTGATTTGTAATATTCGGTCCATTTACGAACTGGCAATTCTGAAATTATTACACGTGTTGCACTAATTTTAGTAACAATACCATATGACAAGTATTTGTTTTTTTCAATTTGTTTAATTTCGCCCTTAAAAATAATAATCAAAGAATAATAATAAATATTTATATAATACGATAATACAATAGTAACATATAGGCATATATTATTTTCTATATATATAAAAAATTACTTCAAACCCACGGTACCAAGGATGCATTGGGATTAATTCTTTGCCATTGATCCTTTGCTTTAAATTTTGAATAATATCTCTAGGATTATAATTTAATATATTGGTACTCCAACCTATAAACCATGTATGTTTTAACACAAGAAAAACCATATATATAGAATTAATAAATAATTAGTTAATCAAGTAATTAACAAAAATCATAACTCCTACCTGTTCCTATACCCTCTGCGCCATTTACAAGAATCATTGGGATGACTGGAATATACCATTTCGGCTCAATACTTTGGCCATCTTCATTCAAATAATCAAGTAAAATATCATCATCTGGATGGAATATCATACGTGCAAATGGTGTAAGTTTTGTGTTTATATAACGAGCACTAGCAGCACTTTTACCACCCTATATTATATTAAATTATATTATTATTACTATCATTATCATCATAATTATAAAATCTTTAAATGGCAGCAGCTTACATCATTTCTTTTTCCAAATTGTCCTATTGGTTCAAGTAAATTAATATTATTTGAGCCTACAAAATCTTGAGCAAGTCCAATAATAGTAGAATGAAGACTCGCTTCACCATGATGATATACGGAATGCTCTGCAATATAGCCTGACAATTGTGAGACCTATTATATGTGCGTGCGCGCGTGTTTATAGCGTATTAATAAAATATGTTATTATTACTCATTAAAAATAAAATGATTGATTGTTAAACGAAAGATCAATATAATATTCAAATATCATTAATCGTACCTTAATTTGACCTTTAACCAAATTTCTTTTGAAACAACCAAATAAAACTTTACGTTGACCAGGTTTTAAACCATCAATTACAGAAGGGATCGACCTGATATTATCAGAAAGAGAGAATAAAGATAATTCTTTGTTTATAAAATCCTTTATACTAATTTCACTTTGTGTATAATCAATAAATGTTCCTTCCTATTTATTAAAATTTTTTTATTTATAAATATATATATATATAATAATTAGATTGGCTTCTTCCTCGTAAATTGAACACATGTGCACAAATTTTCTGCAAATAAATTTACTTGCCTCAATGCCTCTAATCCATTCTTTACGCTCATTGGCTTTCTTTTTAGCAAACGCCATCTCAATTAGTCTATGATCCTCGCTATCCATTGGTTTAAATAATTTAACATGTTTACTGAGATCATTGAAATATTCTTTTGCTTCATCGGATGTACTTGTTCCAAGACCCTATTATTTAATAATAATAATGTTTGTTTGTTTTTTACCACAACAACGATAAAATATATGTATAAATTATTTGTTACCTTATAATATTTTATTTCCCAGCCTTTACCATTGTCATTTTTACTCTTCCATTTCTCATACTCGGGAATTGTAAAAAAAGACAACACCGTTCTATCTTTTTGGCACTATTTATTATTCTAAAATATGAATATATATAAAATATTTAATTGAACAATAAAATATAGGACTTAATAATTCACCTTGACTTTAACAATAGGCGTAATAAACTCTTTAAGAAAGCCAGGTTGTTTTAATAGGGATGGATAAAAAATGATCAAAAAAATTGATAATCAAACCCTTAATATGACTACCATCGTGATCCTGTTGTAAAATAAAATTATTTTTAAATAATTGATTGATGATAATGATAAGGTTAATAATAATAAATTACCTGATCGGTCATTATCATCAGCTTTCCATATCGCAAGTCTTCGAGTGAATCATACTCTTTATTATGTTGTAAACCAAGTATTTTCTTAATTGCCTGGACCTCTTTATTTTCAGATATTTGTTTCATTGATGCATCACGAACATTTAATAATTTTCCACGAAGTGGATAAACACCCCATTCATTGTGACCAACAACATCAAAGCCTGCCAAAGCTAAGGCTTTAGCCGAATCACCTTCAGTTAACACCAACGTACAATGCTGCGCATTCCGTGTCCCTGCATTAACCGCATCGTCTAATTTGGGAACATTGATCCTATTGATCAACAGAAATAATTAAATGATTAAAATTGACCAATGCAAATAAAATGAATTATCATGTGAAATTTCTTACAAATTTCTTTTTACTCCGTCTGTTTTCTTCAATTCTTGAGCTTGTTTTGATTTAAGATCACTCATTATATCTTCTAAAATGCCTGTTTTAATCACTTTTAATATGTACTTTATTAAAACAACGCTAATTATTATTTATTATCAGATTTTTGCCAAACAAAAAAAAGTATTTTACCTTTTTTTATAAAATCATCATCAATTATACATTTTGATCCATACGAACTTTGTTTTAATGTCATGTTTTCTTTTGTTTGAGAGTCAAATGCAGGATTTTCAATTAAACAATTAATGAATATCCAGATGTGATTTTTTATTTGGAATGGCTTAACTTTAACACCCTTATTTTTCTTTTCGATGTGTTCAGTAAGTTTATTAACTATTTGATCGATAACATGTTTAACATGAGTACCACCTTTAGATGTACAAATACTATTTACAAAACTCACCTAATAATTAAAAATGTTAGTTTAAACAAGATTTTTTAAATAAACAAGATAAATAAAAGTATAAATAAACAAAAATCTATATACTTGTTGGAATTGACCTTCAACGCTAGGAGTGACACTGACCTCCCAACGGTCATTAAAATGTTCATGCACTACCGTAGTTCTTGATGACGCACCAGCTGCATTAACTGATTTCAAATACATTTGAACATATTCTTTAAAATTTTTTACTTGGATACGTTTATAATTAAGAAAGACTTTAACATCTTTTACTGTTCCAGCCATATCAAATACACGCTTACTCAACAAAGCAATGATATCATCAGTTAATTCAGTCATTCCAAATTTCTCAAAGTCAGGAATAAATGATATCATGGTGTATTCTTCTTTCCCGTCATAACTGATGATCTTTGGTTTATCAGTTTGTGTCATATTATTATGAAATAATTGTGTATATATTCTTTTTTGTGTTGTATCAGTTGTTTCTACAGTGAATTGGGTGCTGAAAATATTTGCAGATTTTGCACCAAGACCATTTCTACCACCAGTAACTTTCTTCTCATTATCATCATAATTTGATGATGTCATAAGCTGACCAAATAACATTTCTGGTACATATACATTTAATTCTTTATGAATTTCTATTGGAATGCCTTTACCATTATTGTATACAGAAATCTTTCCTAATTCTTTATCAATCTTAACTTTTATTATACTCATTGAAGAATCTCTGATCTGTATATTGTTTTTTTTTTTGAGAAATATCATTATTTTTTGATTTTTTAAAAATCAATATAAAAATCACAATGATCATTAATTAATTGTTAAATAATACCTTATTATCGGCAGCATTAACAAGAATTTCATCAAAAATTTTGAAAAATGCTGGGACATAAGTAATTTCTTTATATTCTAGTTTATCATCTTTGACATTATATATCCATAGTTTTTCAGTTATAACTTCAACAGAACCAACATAAGTATCTGGTCTCTTTAGTACATGTTCAATTGGAGTTAATTTAATATAAGTTTCTTCGATGGTTTTTGAAGAAGATGCTTTAGCATTTGTCTTGGACATGTGTGTGTGCGTAATTTTTTAAAATTCAAACAATATACAATTAACTATATCTGAAAAAATCCTTTTCTGGGGGAGATGCCTCCTTCGAATATTTATATACATGTCTTTAAAGAGAAAGAATGTGTGAGTTTTTTAAATTAAAAAATGCTTGATGAAATGTGCTTTCTTTCCTTGTAGTGAAAAAAGTTAACAAACCCAAAACATAGTTTATCATATGAAAATAATATAAAAATAATTAAATTGACTATCGTTTAAACTTTTAAATTTTTTGTTAAATTAAAGGGCAATTTGATCTTTTTATCATTACTATAACTCGAGTCATCTAAAACCAACCAATTTTATTCAGCTTTTTTGAAGCCCATCACATCGACATACAGTGCACTTTTGGACTCAAACTCTTCATGGTTTTATATAGTAAATGCCAAAGAATAATTCTATGAAAAGTTTGATGTAAAATATTTATTACTTAAAAAGCTACGGCGGTTTAGATATCTGATTTTGCCACTTCCGTAGATCGTTAACTATTAAGAGACGATCTTCACCCAAAAATTTTTTCTTTTGATTTAAGGGTGCAAACGTATGAACACAGCATAAACACGGAAATGCGTCACTTTCCATATGGCCATATCATGTGCCGTAACCCTAGCTTAAAAAAATGAAAAACAAATATATAATAATAAAAACATCAACTAGCAATGAAATTAAGAAATGTAGCAAATGATTCATCAGTTGGTACTTTAAGGGTAGGGGGAATCACGTGGTAAATTAATAGTAAACAATGGCTCAAAAAAAAATTTTTAATGTTGATCATCATAAATAACTAATATAAATTCGGGCGCTCATGTAATTAACATCCTTTATTTTTATTTTTTATTTTTACAATAAATATAAATGCTGACTCGACAAGATTAAAGGACTGGATTCATTAAATCTCTTGTCTATTAATCATCAATATTCCGATTTAAGATAATAATATTTAAGACAATAGTAATAGCTACTAGTAAATTCAAAAAATGACGACATATTTTCAAACAAACATAATTTGACCTTTTCAACGATTTGCATCTTGTTATTGAAATCAAACGTCAAAATGAAAATTCAAGTGAAATTGGATCATTTTTGATGGAATCTTTGGACTAATTGATAAAAATAAACAATGTAATTCATCAGAATATAAAAATAATAACATATATATTGATCACATATTTTATCATGATTATACGTTGGCTTTAGTTTTATGCTATCGTTCATTACTGTATCATTCACTTCCTCCTTTTGTTGCAAATTCGATTTTTACTTTTTTTAATAATGATATATTGATCAATACATACGTATATTATGCATACGGGAAACGGACAATAGAAACAAGGTCAACATCAAAAATCAACTAAGAAGAACATTCCAAGATTTAATTAGCCGGGTATAGTTTTGAGCTAAAATCAATGCCCATAGTAAATTGCAAATAAGGGTTCTTCTATTCACTTAATGTATGTTGACTAAAGATGGCCCTCGATTAATTGCGGTATATAAAAATGGAATTGCGATTCCCGTCTTTAATGTTGGTTCTGCTTTTAGACTATATATACGATAAAAATATTAAGAATATTATTATCTTATCAGTATGCCAATACCTTGATTATTTTTAAAGAATATTGGTCAGATATCAGATTCTGATATTTGCTGATATCCACCATTACTCAATTTGGCATCATTCAACCAGTAAAAAGAGAACGAATAGATTATATATAAGCAAAGAAAGATGAGGCCTTAAATTAGCACAAAAGGGTTTTAAATCATGCACAAACATAACAGCTTGATAGCTTGATTGACATAGTGGTGCAGTCTTGGATTCCATGCAATTTTTTTATTGTATATTTTAAATATAATTAATCATATGTTTTTAACAAAACAAACATGATTTAGCTATTTAATCATTTCCTTGTATGTGAATGCCTCCATCCATTGGAATATTCATGGTAGTCATGATTATTATGCAATACATTTGATATCATCATTGACATAACAAACAATTGCATCACCCAGGTAATAAAAAATACCAGAGCCATGCATAAACAAAACTCTTAACAATGCATGTCTACCCAGATCTCTGGTGTTCACAATAATAAATAAATAAATAGGGAGGATCAAAAAAAAAATTTTTTTTCTTTCCAATGCATAGTTTCTTAAAATGAACAATAAATCTGATATCAATCGCAGGTGTCAGATTTAATAAAATTTCCTGTCACCAACATGGAATAAGGTGTTCTCACACCTCCTCATGACTGTGGAATTTTTTCCACAGGCGAGGTAATCCAAACATGTTGGAAGGCTTTGGACAAAACTTTCCACATCTTCCCCTCAGACCAGGCTGGCTGTTTCCATATGAGCATTGATTGTTGACAAGAGTTGGCATATGTGTGTGATATACCTCTCTAGAATAAAGCTGGTGTCTGCAACTTGGGAGGTTGCAACCTGGGTTGTTGCAGTTTTGGATTTTCCCTGAATTCCGAGTTTTGTGGCCTGGGTTGCTGTCTTGTCAGTGGCACACCTACTCACCAACAAATCTACCCCCATTTAAATAACAAATTCAGTTGATCAAATAAAAAATCACAAAAAAACAGAGAATATGAAAATGATTAATTTATACAAAACATACCAAAAAAAATCTGAGCCATTTATTTTACAACTTTCCTCTTAACATCAAAGTCCAATGCAATTTCAGGGCCACAAACCCTGCTCTGAATTGTGACCTCATGTGCTTGAAATGAGTTGCAGATTCTTGTTGCTTTGATGGATCTGGATGTTTATGCGCACCTAATATTACAATTCATTTGCAGAGTTGCGACTTGGACACAGAGCCATCCTTGCCCTAGAGGTGGGATCATTGCAGGCAACTTTTCGACCAGCGTGCCAGCAGCCTTCTCTGGTCTGGGAGGATTAGTGAAAGTGTCATTGACGATTGATACAGTCTTGATAAACTCCAGGGCCAAACTTCACCCCTGGAATTCGGTTGCATCATTGTATCATTGAGGGTGACTCGGTCAGATTAGCCTTATGCACACGTGAGAATGACTGTAAAGTGTTCAAGGTAGCGTGCGTGCTTCAACGTCTGCCAAATTTCGATAATTAAACGTTGCATATTTGAATTGTTTCAATCATGCTGCCTTGACATCTTGTGATTATAATAATGTAATAATATTATTAATATTATTGATTACGAAAAGCAAAATACCAATCATTCATTCGTTATCATCTTGACAAGGATCTTATAATTACCCAGCAATGATCCGCTCCGCGTTTTGATTCCAATTAAAATATTTATATAAAATAAAAGATACCACATTATATCAATACAATTAAAAAAAAGTACCTCTGGTTAGTTATTAACACGTTTCGTATTTTGTCATCCTGGACTCTGTCAAAATAAATTGTTTTTAAAAAAAAAAAAGTCTCTACAAAAACAACAAAGAAAAAGAGCAAAAGCGAATAATTATAATGGCGAAATAATTCAAGGGTAAGTGTTTTAAGGATGGTGGTGGGTTATTGCAACTCATTGTCATGCTAGTTAATTATTAAAGAACAGTAGTGGTGGTTGTGATTGTTTCTCATTCTATATATATACTTCTTTTCTCCCAAAAAAAAATGAATAAAATTAAAACGAATACAAAAAAAAGAAACAAAGAAAATGAAGGTGAAGATATCGATCGGTAAGTTTTATTTATTAGTTATTAAAAAGAATGTGGTAGTTGCAATTATTGCAAGCTTGCCATTCTAGATATAGTAAAAATTGTGAGAGGGATCTCCTCGTGCACAGTAGTTGCGTGCAACACTCCATTCTAGTTACAATGGTAATGATTATAATTAATTATCATAATTGTTATTGCTTCTTCTAGATTATTACTATCACCACTAGGTTAAGCACTTTTACAAGTACCTTCAGAAAAATGAAAAATACATCCAAGTGGAAACTATCCACCGGAAAATTTGTAGAAGATTCGCTACAGTGTTGAAATTTCGTTGTGTAATCAGTACAAATTTAGAAACTATCTCCAAAAATTAAAAACTTGATTGGTGTGTAATGTTACACCCCCGCATTCCCCGCACCGAATTTTCAACACTGATTCGCTATATGAATATGGTTTAAAATGTACTTCTGAACATATGTGTCATAGTTTTATTTTAGATCCAGATGATAATTCTTATATCAATGATAAAATATTTACAAAAGAAGAGCTTGAAGAAATTCGTGATTACAAAAAAAGAGAGCTTCCAGAAATTCCAGAAGATCTCATTAATTATATTATGAAATTTTCTGATAACAAAATACATGAACTTAGACGCTCGTTGACAAATGATAATGAATCAATATCAGAAAACTATGTTCGTGAACTTCATCATGACATAGATTGGGTATATTTTGCAATGCATGCTATCATTAGGGAATATGAATCTGGATATTTAATTTCTCCTTGGAGGACTCCCTTGTAAACTCAATGAAAATTCTTTCTTGATAATTTCAGAATTATTGCATTTACGAATTGTAGACAGAAAAATAAGAATAAAAAGCTACCTCGTAAGTCATGAAAATAGAATTAAAATAAAAAGAGAAATAATTAAAGAATAAAGTAAAAGGAAAATATAAAATGTAGAAATAAAATTTAAGGAATCCGTAGATTCAATTAAGATTTTCGATTTTATGTCTTCTTTGGTGTAAATTTCCACACAACTCGCACCAAATTGTCACCGATTAAATTTGGGAGAACGTATTTTAATTGGTGATAACAATTATTTTTAGTTTTATGTGGATCAGAATGAAAAGGTAATTAACGAATTAATTTTGGTATTAGCGAATAATTTTGTTTAAAGAAGATAAAACTTGTTTAAATAAACAAGACTTGGCTGTTTAATCATTTCCTTGTGTGCGAATGCCTTCATATACTAAATATTCATGATGCTCGATTATTATTCAATACATTTGATATCACCATTGACATAACAAACAATTGCATCGTCCAAGTAATGATAATACCAAGATCATGCACAGATCACAAAATAAATTATTTTTTCTTATGAATAATAAATCTGATGTTGATCACATGCAGTTTACATAATCATGGTTTTTTCACATGGGTGAAGTTCCCTACGTTTTTTTTTCTTGAAAAACTTGAATATTTTCATGAAACAAAATCGATCTTAATCTTTATTATAATCCTCAAAAAATGATGATTCATTGTTGTTTGTTACTTGTTGCTATAATAATAATAATGCTTTCCCATGATTGATGGTTGATCGAAGTAAGTGTTAAAATCAAGATCTATGAAGCTGTTTCTATAAATTATTAAATAATCATATAGACGGATTTGATCGAAGTCAAGATCTGTGAAGCTTGTAAAACGAATGTTTATCAATTATTCATGGGCGAGTTTGATCAAAGTAAGTATTAAAGTCAAGATTTACAAAGCTTGCAATCCAGCTTTGCAGATCAAAGCATTTTTAGTAATAATAATCAATTCAGTTGTCAATTAAAAAGTAACCGAATAATAAATTCAATTGTAAATGCATAATGCTTATCTTTAAAAGTAAACAAATCAATGATCCAAAAAAAACCCAGGACATATGATAATAATAGTAAAAAAATTTTTTTAGCATTTTTAGTAATAAACATAATAATTAATTAATTAAACACACATAATGCTTTTCTAAATCAATGGTACGGTCCAAAAAAAACAGGGGAAATGATAATTCGTAAATTGTAAAATGTTTTTCAACATTTTTAGTAAGAGTAATAGACAATTAATTCAATTGTCAATTAACAAACTAAACGCATAACACTTTTCTTAAAAAGTAAACAAATCAAATGGTACAATCCAAAAAACAGGACAAATGATAACAATAGTAAAAATGTTTTTAATAATAGAATGATCTTATATAAAAGTAAAATAAACAAAATCAACGGTATGATCTTCATCACACTAACTAATATTAAAAAGAAAAATGCTTCACCACCACCAAAAAGTTATTTTTAGTAGCATATATATGATAAAATAAATAAATAACAAAAAAAACCAATAAGGAATTCGATTATTGAAATTAAATACTCTTAAATGTAAAATAAACAAATTTTTATTCTTACCAAACAGTTCTCTTCGATTGGAAAAAAAGAATTTATTAAAATTTGTCATGCGGAAAAAAGGTATTCACATTCATTGATCATCAAAGAAAGAATAAGATCGATTTCAGAAAAATAAAAAAAAAATTTTTTTTTTGAAATTTACCACCAAGCGAAACAAAAAAATTAGGTTTGAAAAACAGAATTTTGCTGACTCATTGATCATGCCTCTCTCATCATCTTGCAAAGCATTGCAATTGACATTTGCCGTACGACACAATTTTTACCAAATATGGTGAAAGCGTTGATCGCGCCAAAAGCCGGAAAAACCAAGCGCGGCTAAACGCAAAAGGAGGCAATCGGAGAGAAACCTGCACGAAGGTCGCTCGCCTTATTGATTTTGGAAGGTGGTCACGACACGGCAAGTGTTTCGTTTCTTACTTGTGTTAATAAATATTTATTATTTTATTTATTTAGTTTTCCTTAGTCGAAACTAATTAACTTGTTACAAAGTTACTTTTACAATAGGTCGAATTTGAGTTCTTTATATACATGTTAAATTACATAGGAAACCCACATTGTGCTTGGGCGATCCCGCACACTGTGGGCTATTTTGCCCACCTTGGGATCATCGTCATTAATCTCTACTAAACAAAGTTAAATAAATATTAACGTGCTACGAATTAATTAATAAAATATACGAAACGTAGCACGAATATAAATGATAATAAATAATTATACAAGTTATTAATAAGTAAATAGAAAATAAAAATAGAATGATAAAGAAATTAAATAAAAATTAAATTATCCCGGAATTAAGAGGTTCGGCCAAAATATCTACGTTAAAATCTAATTCCGGTAACAATAGCATTGGAGCCTGCTATATGAAATTTATAATAATTATGATGCATGTATGAATTAATTAATACCTGTTATATATACATATTATATATTAATTCAAAAATGGCATCTTCAATATCGTTGGGTAGGCATACATAGTATTTATAAATACACTTTTTTTTTCAACGAAAAGATCTGCGTAAAATTTAGCCAATCATTGTCGATTTGTTTTTTTTCCCCAGAATATTTTTAATCATCGATCATTACAGTATTTATAAATTTCAAATTTGGAAAGATCCCTGACTGAACTAACCTATATATAACGTTATTGTTATTATGAAACCCATCAATGATTTTTATGATGTCATAGTCGGGAAAATATGGTTAAGTTGCTTCACGGTAATAATAAAGACAGATATAGAGTTTACGTATATAGAAAGAGAGTGTGTAATGTATATATATATACCATTGCTAAAACGCCATACAAAAAATTATACACCACAAATATATAAAATAAAGTTATTGTATTATCAATAAAACCAATTTAATTGATATTTAGTAATAATGAAAAATTTATTAATATTTTTGAACATTTCTACAAACAATTTTAAGAAAGAACATAAAAAGTTCAATTTCAACTAATTTTGACATCAATTCCTTCAGAATTGTCTTTTTGACAACACTTTCAAAAACAACAGTCCTAATAAGATTCATAAATACAAAATGTAAATGATAGTTACCTGCATGACTTTTTTTACTTGCAATTATTACTGAATTCAAACAATGAGAGCCCCAACATGCCTTACCAGGTAATTTTACAATTGTATTTCTTTTAAGCACTTATTATTTGGTATAAATAATATCCACAATATATATGCTAGAATAAAAATTACTATGTTTTAATATGTGTTGATAAATGTGTAATCAAAGATATTGGGGAAATTCTCGGTCTGGGAAAATTTTATTCAAAAAATATATTGAATAAGGTTTATTCATTTATTTATTTATTATTATTATTATGAATTCGAGCATTCGGATTACATTGAAAGTTTATTCGAATAAAATAATAAACTTTTTATATTTAAACATGATTCATCAATGTGATGGTTTTTAAAACATTTAACAATGTCCTTTGTATTTCTTTTGCCCAAGATAAATCTAGAGTGCAAAAATTCTTTATCCGATTAATTGATCGTAAAAATTAATATTAAGAGTTAGCCTTAACTGGAAAAATGAATCATTCAAATAATATAACTGATAGTAATAGCATATGCATTATCTGATCCAGTTAAAAAATTATAGACATAGTATGGTTTCTATTGAATAAGAATTATTTGTATTATTCGTTATGGATTCGAATTACATTGAGTATGAATGTTTATTCGAATATAACGAATAAAACGAATATTTGAATAAACGAACAAATTCGAATTAATATTAATATCAAGGCTGAGTTGTATTACAAATAGAAACTCTAGTTATAAGTCCCACCCAAGAGAAAAGATAAAGATTGATACTCTATACAAACAGCAGCATTATCCATATTTGTTTCATAATTATAAATGTGGATTATGTTTTGGTATCTGATATTAATATGTATTCTAGTTAGAATAAAAATTGTAACGCCAATATTGATAAATAATTAATATTAATATTAATATTGACCAGTTAAAATTAACCGGTTAAATTAACCGGTATAGAAAAATCGATGATCATTACATGTATGAAGTCATGTGCAATTTTAATATACATAAAACCATCTAATTTAGGTTGTATTTTTGAATTTTTTTGGCTTTAAACTGTTGCCAACTCTTTGTTGGAATCGGAATTGTCTGTTTTATCTCTTTTTACCAAAGCAGTTAAAGATTTTCTCTTGTTTAATGACGTTTTAAAAAATAATGAAACAAAATAAATTATTTTAAATCAAGAAATTCAATTGTATGAAAATCAATGCCGTTTTGTTAAAGAGAAATCAGAAACAATTTATGATTTTAATTTAGATTTATATAATATTTTATTATTAATATTTTATTTTGTTTCTATATACTTTAGTACATTACATTGTCATGTCATATATCAATTAATATGGTTAAACTTGTAGAGATCTGCATATCACGCGAATCCGTTATTGTTGATATATTAGTATATATTAATATATAGGTCATACATATGAAATTAAAATGGTTTTCAGATGCAATTGATAATATCCGTTATAGAGAGGAGATTTCAAATAGTAAAAAATTGGGACAAAATTTTAGTTCGTTGTTTGTTATTATAGAGGAAAATTCAGTATAGAAGATCCGCCGTTATCATTATAGAGAGCGTGCGTGGACTGTGAATCGTTTACTATGCGTTTTTTACTACATGATCGGCAAAAATAATAATGAAAAATTTTGCGGCTTCACGTTTGTAATACATAATATTGGACCCTAGTGACCTATATATCATACATATACTTGGTGTGTACCTGTTACATAACAGGGTATAAAACTGGATGCTAGAAGACTGAAATTGTAAATAACCATATGCCTCAACCACTTTTTTAAAACATATGAATTAAAATTGCTCGGTTTTGAATAGCTGTAGCTTTTCCTTTAATTATGAAAAACCATTCATTAGAAAGCTTGAATGAATGGTGTAGTTTTACTTTGCTTTAATAATAAAACTCAAAGAACAGCCCAGTAACTGTGCAAAAATAGCAGTATTTGAGGCGTTTAAGTAATAATGGCCACCCAGCCTGGAACAAAGTTCTAACCCCTTTTTCTTTTATTTCCATAGATGATCAAGTAACACCACATTTGTATACTACATCAAGTGGTTCGCGCGACTAATCCTAATTTGCTAAAATTGACATGGTTCCATACTAACAATTTATTTTATTTGTGTGGTGTGTAATTATGCAATAAAATCTTCTATCAAATTAACGTTAATATTGCTATGCATTAAACTTAAATTTTTCTTTAAAAAAAACCAAATAATAGTTTTTTTGGCGTTACAATTTTTTAATTTTTTTTCATAAGTAAAAAAAAATGTCAAAACTTTTAAGTTATTTCAAGTGTAAGCAATGAAAATTTTCTTTTTTTTCTTCTTCACGTTATAATATTAAATGTAATATTATTTTATAATTATAAAATGTTAAATAGATAATGATTCTGAAAGATGCAAACTATGTAAAACGCCATATCAAAATTCTGGAGGTTCGAATATTCTACTTAACAAATGGTGTCAATTATGCGAAGCCGCAAAATTTCAAAAGGAATTTCCAAACTGGACGAGTGGAAACCAAGATGTTGACCTCTTGATTCAACACACACAACTAAATGCAAAAAATTCGGGAAATTATTTGGAATGGATCCCATACGAAAACTTTTCAGATATTAAAGAGATTAATAAAGGTGGATATTCAACAATATATGAAGCTAAATGGAAACATAGTTATAGATCACTTTGGAATGAGAATTGGAATGTTACGGAAGATTGGGTGATTTTAAAACAATTACATCATGATGACGAAATTTCCATTCAATTTTTGGATCAGGTATAATATTTTTTTCCAGAAGATAATACTTTTAAAAACAAAATGAATTTAAAAAAAAAATTTTAAAATTTTTATAGATTCAAAGTATTTTTGGTAGTGAGAGTATAAAAAGAAACGAAGAATACTTTGTCATGTTAACAAAATATTATGGACTTTCACAGAATCCAATCACAAAAGAATATATTGTAGTACAACAATATATGTATAATGGAAGTTTACGTGAATGGTTTAAAAAACCATATGCAAAAGAAACTTTATATAGTAAAATAAATCATTCATGGATTGTGTCGGGTTCACTCAAAATAATTCATGAAAAAAATCAATATCACGGAAATTTTCATCCAGGTAATATTGTGGTGCAAGGAGTAAGCACTATGACAGGCATATCGCCTAAAATATTAGTTAGCGATTGGGGATTGAGTAAACCGGTTGATAACTTAATATTCAAAGGTGAAATATTTGGTGTAATACCTTATGTTGCACCAGAAGTTTTTAGAGGCAAAGCATACACAAAATTATCGGATATCTACAGTTTTGGAATGATAATGTATGAACTTGGTACAGGTAAAAGGCCATTTTACAATTTAGCACACGACGAGAACTTAGTTTATGAGATATGTGTCAATGGACTAAGGCCTGAATATAATGAAAATGAATTACCTAAATTTTACATTGATTTAATGGAAAGGTGTTGGAGTCAAGATCCTTCAGAAAGACCGGATGCAGATGAACTATTTAATATAATTGAGAATTTAGGCAAAGATGGCAACAAAGATGAATATTTAAAACAAATTAAAGAAGCCGAGGAATATCAAAGATTATTAATGTTGGAAAATAATATCACAAGTTATGATAGTATGATTCATAATGATGCAATTTACACAAGTAGAGAACTTAGTAGATATACAATATTATTACCTATTGAATTTATTGATATTAATAATAATGAAGCTGAAATTGATGAAAAAGTTCATAATAATAATGATTATGATAATGATAGCAGTAGCAGCAGCAGTAATAAGGATGACGATAGTTATGGTTATAATCATACTAGTAACAATAAATATAATTATCTCTATGAATTTTTATATGAAAAGTCACAAAGTTATAATTTCATTACTGGAAATAATAAAATAGAATTAAATCTTGAAAATGTTTGGAATTAGTAAATGGTAATAATAATAATAATAATAATAATAATAATAATAATAATAATAATAATAATAATAACGGTAGTAATGTAACATTATAATATAGAATCATGTAATAGTGTAAAATAACGCTATAAAACTTTCCTGATGTTAGAGAATCCACAAATCACGTCTATGATGACTTGGTTTTGAAATATTTAATAATAATGACCATAATAATAGTAATGGAAATAGTAATAATAATACTTAATATTTAATATTTAATACCTAATTAATAATTTATAATAGAACGATTTCTAAATCAAAAAAAAAATTTTTTATTAATTTTTTGTAATATTATTTTTCCAATAAAATAAGTATTAAAAAAAAAAATACAATCTATTCTAATAAATAATAACAACACAATTATTATTGGTAATTATAATACAAATTCAATGATAATAAATAATAATAAATACTTCTAATAGAATTTTATGATTTTTTTGTTGAATCACTATCTTTTTGTCCTTCAATTGCACTAGTTGCAATTTTGACACCATCCGATGCTATTTTGTTAGCATCAAGTTTTGTATCGGATCCACCATCAATTATGTTACCTATAACTTGAATTCCACTCGAAACAAGTTTATCGACAACATCCGAAGGTTTTGTATCAGTCGAGCCACTTTGTTTTTGTCCTTCAATTACACTGGTTGCAGCTTTGATACCTTCTGATGCTGTCTTGCCAATATCACCGCCACCACCGGTATCAGTAGCTATTGTCTTTATTCCGTCAGAAACAATTTCATTGATAACAGGTTTTGTATCAGTTGAGCCGCTTTGCTTTTGTCCTTCGATTACACTGGATGCGACTTTGACACCATCCGATGCAACTTTACTAGCATCAATATTAGATGACTTTTCATCATTATTATTAGAAGTTCCGGATACAGTTGTTACTATACTATTAAGATCATCAATTGTATTTTCTTTACCTGAGGCTCCCTCTTTTTTATTAAATAAATTACTAATGCTATTTAAAATACCCACTCCACCAGAGGACGTCTTATTTTTATTTTCATCCGATTTCTTCTCGTCGGATTTGTTTTCATCGGGTTTTTTCTCATTACTTGAAGAGTCTTGTTGTTGTTGTTGTTGTTGTTGTTTTTCCTTTTCTCCTTCAGTGATTTCATTATTTGGACCTGAAATTGTATTGTCGATAAGAGTTTGAACATTGGGACTAGTTAAGGTATTTTTCTTTCCGAGTTCTAACGGCGGTTTTTTCTGTGTACCCATTTCCTCAAGAGCTTCCATTTCGGATTCATTAGTTTTATCATCGATCTTTTTATCTGCACCAACCAATTTATCATGGAAACAAGGATAACAAGTAATCATTCTTGTGATAAATTTAAAGATAGCATAAACAATCAATTCGTCATTATTTACTTTCCAGATACCTATCATCCAACTAATAACATTCATTATAGATGTCATAATTATAGCTAAAACTGCTACCAGTAAAGTGGTTTTAGCAAATCCGGCGGCATGTTTTACTGCTATTGATTCTTCTTCAACTTGATTATTCTCAATTTGTATAAAACCTCCAAGTCCAGTTGGAAAGGCAGTATCAATACCACTATCGGAGATTCCATTAAGAGATGTTATATTACTACTGGCGGAGAATGAAGCTGCGATAATGATCAGGACTTGTGAAATTGCGCCCAAAATTTGAGAAAATTGAGCGTCCAATTTCTTGACTGATGTATTATAAGATTCAACTTTTGGCTTTAATAAATTGAACCCTTTTAATATTCCATTATAATAAATTGGGCCTTGTAATCTTGCAGGTGACTGTTTGCTTGGGTGAAATCTTCGATAAAATAAAACAATTATATTTGAAATTATAAAAAGTATGATTTGTAAACTTATTGTCACCCCGGAAATCTTACCAACGGTCGAAATATCTCCGAAATTCCATTCGGTGAAAACGAATGATCCAATAAGTACATTATAAAGGAAGTTGCCAAAACTACTACTAAGTCCTAATAAAGTCAGCCATTGGATAATTAAACTGGTATAATACATTAAAAAATTTAATAATAGTTCAACTCTATAAATGCGCCTGGTAATTCTTTTCTCTTCTTCTTCTCTTTGTTCCGGTGTATCTTTATCAACAGTCTGAATTGCTTCTTCGATGTTGTCTTTTATACCAACTTTATCTAATACCTCTAATGTCGTTTGAACAGACTCTCCGGTAATTTGTGGTGTTGCAGTAGCCATGGCATTTAAAATTTTACCACTAGTGCCTTTTACTGCTGGTATATTAACTGTCACTGGTGGTTTTGATGCAGACATTATTATTATTATTTATTATTATTATTATTATTATTATTATTTAGTATTATAAATATATGTATGTATATATTAGATAGATAATAATTAAAATATTAGTTTAAAATATTTAATTCGTTAAAAAATAGATAAAATAAAAAATTTATTTTTCTGAAAAAGAAATTTTCTGGTCTTCAATGCTGCCCGTAACCTTTTATTTATTTTTTGTTAATCGCTATGTATCTTGTTTATTATCACATTTTTAGAAAATTTATTATTATTTGTTTGTTTTGTAAAACGTAAATATACAATGATTAATAATAAATAAATAAAGTGATACAAAATTTTTCGAGAATTGTAGACGTGCGATTTGATTATAATAATAATAAATTCCCAAGCTAATTTTTATAAATAAAAAATTATTCGCTTTTTAAGGCTAGTTCCTTCCTGCTCGGGAATTGTTTTTTTGGTAATTTTTTTTTTTTTTTTAATTTTGAATTTTGTACAAATTATTGGCGCGTGTAACGTTTCGTGTAACTTCTAACGTCCAATCAGATGATAAAAAAAAATTTAAGAAAAAATGAATTGATTTTACATATATAGTAATTAGAATAAACTCGCCCATCACCACCATCATCCTTATTCGATGAATTTTGAATATTTAGAGCATTTACTTTTTTTTCTTTACTGAAAAACGAAAAAAAAATTTTTTTTAAGAGGAATTAAAACCAAAATCTCTCAAATCAGGTATTCTCTCCCGATGTTTTTTTGATTTCATATTTCACACCCTGTCCAGGATCAAGTCCAAATACCCTGCATCCATTCAAAATCAATATGTGTCCATTCTCCACCCATATCTTTGTTATTATTATCAGTTTGTATAGAATAAGCAAGGTTCGATTTTGTATGGCGTCACTATTAACATTAAATGCCAAGTTTCCATGTCAGTTGTACAGTTGTTGCTCAACTGATCAATGCATATAGTATAAGCACCAGTATCAATTAATATGTCCTTTTGTTTAAAGAGTATTCATGTAAAAGTATAAAAGGATGAAGGCCATGTTCTCAGTTGCGCTTGGTAAAGATGCAGAGGGTTTTTAATGAGACCTGAAAGATATATATATACTTTTATAGAATTATCATCAAGAGCTCGATTTTGGAACAATTCCCATTTCACTTTCAAGCGAATGGATTGCATGTGAGCAAATGTGATAAAGAAAGCGTTTTTAAAGGAAGGAGAAGGGAGAATCATGATTCTGCAAGCTGTCAGTGATGTGATTTATGATGGGGATAATATATTTTTTTGGCAAAGGGAATTGATGAATCTTAAATAGTTTACACGTTATCCATTTTTTATTTATTCAGTTCATTCCTTGAGGCTGATATTGCGTGTATAGTGCATCTCAGATATATAATATTTATGATAATTTTATGGATGCTTTGTTTATTTTACCAACTGGAAACACTTTTGTATATATTTGAAGGCATCTTGAAGTTGCTAATGGCTACATGATAAAGTATTGCAACCAAGAACCTTCAAAAGCAATTTGAGTCATTATTTAACAGAACTTGGATCAGGGTTGATAGAGTAGTAGGTTGAGCCCATCAAGACCAAGGAGGGCTGGCCTGGTTCATGTTTTATATCTTTTTCTTGATATACCAAGTTTTGGAACTTTACAAAGGCTACTTGATGACCAGAAATTTTGTATTTTTCTAAAAAATAAATAAAAAAGTTTGATATATCATTTGTTAATATAGTCTTCTATAAAAAATATTTTATTAATCGTATTTTTTATCAATGGAAACTCTTTGTGCGATTGTGTAATTATGAATTTGACAATAAATTAATTGTATAATAAATTTATTGATAAATTACAATCGCACTATTGTGATTATTTTGGAACTGTAGGCGTCTGACCACGTCATTTGTGATTTTACGATTTATCAAGATTTATTTATTTTATTTCTATTAAGCTTCATAAAATATTAATTAGCAATAATAATGAATGAAAAAAAATTTAGATAAAAACCTAAATTCAAAAAAAGCGAGCAGCTGGTCAGTAATAATTTAATTTCGTGAAACGAAAATTTTTACAATTTCTTTCTTATGTTAATGTTAATGAAAAGGGTTATCTTGTAAGACTTGAGCACAACATTGAATTTCTTGTTAAGTAATTGTTAAATGGAAATTAAGGCCTTTTTTATATTAATTAATATAAATTAATAAATAAAATAATATAAACAAAATATATATATAATTTAAGTTTGCATTTTTATTTTGATAATTAAATAAGTTTTTTTTTCGAGTACTTTACACCCTTTAATTTTTTCTTCATGTTTTAAATTTTTGCTGAAAGATCTTTATTTTCACATTCACAGACCTTCTTTAATTACTAACAACCAATCACTATTATTTTTTAAAATTTTTAATTTAAATATTTCTTCCCACTCCTCTTTTCATAATTCACTCACTGTATATAACATATGCTACCAGTATAATAATATACATACACATACATACATATATATATCTACTTCAAAATTATTTCCTAATTCAAAAAAAAAAAAAAATTTAAAAAACTTGTATATTCAAGGTATTTGAATAAAAACTTAAAAAGAATTGTTTGTTATTTGCCACGATATAACAAACATTAAACTAAAATATTTTTTTAAAAAAATTTATAATATGCCTAGATTACCTCAAATCTTTTATTAAAATTTCAAACACATTCTCTCGAATTTATCACAATTGTATAAACGATAATTAAATAATTCATGGCAAACACCACCACCACCACATCATATCATTTAACTCCTCCTCCAACACGAAATAATGAATTAAGCGCAGCATCTAATAGTAATAATAGTCCAATATCACAAAGAAGTCCACCTTCGCCTCGTACTCAATCAAAATCTATATTAACTATTGCTCTACAAAAGGCTCAATCTGCTGTAGAGTTTGATGCTGCAAATGATTTCACTGCCGCATTAGAGGCTTATAGAGAGACAGTTGAACTTCTTTCACAGGTTGTAGATAAAGCTGTAAATGACGTTGAACGGCGAAGGTTGCAATTAATTGTGAGTTATAAATTTTTTTTGAATTGGAATAAAGAGTTAAAGGGATCGATTACAATGTGTTGAACGTTAGATTATATTTTATAGGAGTTAGGGGTAGAATTTAATGAATTAAAAGTGATTATTCGTTGAGAATTAATTTAATTAATAGATAAACATTCTTTTTTATAGCACAGTACATATGTTGATCGAATACGATTACTATCCGCGATATCACCGGATTCATCTATGGATGGTACTGATGGCATTGAGTCAGATCAAACCTCAACTGAAAATAACAATGACGGCAATAAACAAAATGAAAATTCTACAGATTTAATCAGTGATTCATCATCATCAAAGACATCATCATCATCGTCATCGTCGTCATCATCATCATCATCAGCAGCTTCAATTTCATTATCACCAATAACTGTATCAAATAGTCAACATATAGAAGAATCTGATGGATTGACAGAATCTGATGATCAAAAAACTGAAACTTCATCGATAAAAAGTGATAATAATAATAATAATAATAATAATAATAATAATAATAATAATATAATAAAACCAGACGCCGGACCTACACGTGTTTTCATACCACCACCACCACCAAATATCGCACCTCCAACTACTTCAGTAAATTCCAGTCCACGTGGAACAACAATGTTGTATTCTGCATCAATAACTACATCATCATCACCATCATCACCATCATCACCATCACCATCATCATCATCACCACCACCACCATCATCATCATCATCATCATCACCCCTCCTTGACCAAACTTTTATGAGAAGAAGATCCACATTGCCTAATATAACACCATCATCACCACCTCCACCTGTACACACATCATCATCATCGTCATCATCATCATCAATGATTAAACCAATATCACCCACTTCATCAATGACTGAATCTACAACAGGATCTTTTTCAACAAATTTAATTTCTGACGACGAAGATGACAAAGAATCAATTAGATCTATACCTCCAAATACTACTAACGTCGCCAACAATATCACAAATACTGCCACTGCTTCTAATATTTCATCATCGTCACCATATTTTGTAGAAAATTTCCATAAAAATAATAAAAAATCATTTGCTAAAAGTCGACGACCAGCTCCCCTTTCATCAATTCAGTATAATTCTCGTACTGTAAATTTTCGTCCAACATTAACTAATGATGCATCAAATAATAATGATAATAATAATGATGGTAATGACTATTCACCTCCTAATACCATAGCCACTGCTGTTACTACACCTGTCACTTCTACTGTTAATTATAACACCTATGTTACCCCAAGAAGAACTGCTTCAAATCCTGGTAATGGTCTACGAAAAAATAATTCATTACGCTTCTTCAATAATTATTCACAGTCTTTGCCATCACAAAGTTTCACTCAATATCTGTCACAAATACCAGGAACCCCAACCACACCATGGACGAGTAATAGCTTACCATCGCCTTTGAGTAGCCCAAGATCCAGTGTTACACCTACAGGAACTTTTAAGAATGATATAACGTCTAAAAATATGGATCTAGGATATGCATCGTGCTTATTAAATCCTTTATATAATCCATTATTTTACGAAAAAGAAGAAGAAACTTCAAATATGGTAGAATATGGATTGCCAGAATTACCACCAAATGATATACATTTAAAACCTTTTTGGTTGATGAGATTATTGGAACGAACCATGACCACTGGTGGATATTTAACACCAAAATTATATATTCCAAGACATTTATGGTTGCAAGGACATGCAAAACTTAATGCATTGGAAACTAAAATTTCTAGTTGTGATGTTGTTTTAAATTGTTTGCTAAGATTGACAAAATCTTCGATTAACGATATGGATGCTTTAGCAAAGGTAAATTAATATCTTTCAAAAACAAAAATAAAATAAAATAAAATAAACTTTTTATTAAACTATTTAAAATTTATTCAGGAATTAGAAGGTATTGACCTTATACTTGATGGATTACAAAACTCGCTGGCACGTAAAATAAGTTATATAGAGTCTACAACTGGTAAAGGTAAACAGAGTGCCAGTTCACTGATGAGTTGGGGATCCAAATTATCACGTGGACTTGATCGAATGGGTATGAGTAATGCCATGATTCGTAGTGAAGAAGCTAACGGATATGTTGATGTGCTATTAAAATTATTTCAAAATGTTGATATAGTAGGTCAGTGATAAATAAGAGTCAAAATTTTATTATTTTGTTTTTTATTTTAAATGTAAATATTTTTTTTTTCCGATAAATTTAGAAAAACATATTTGTCATTTCTCATCATTGAAAGCACCATATCATCATCATCATACACAAATCGTTATTCGACTTTTTAAATTTTCAGATTTTTTTGGAAATGTAATATGTAGATTTGTCGTAAGAGATTTGGGTATATTGGCAGATAAATATGTAAAAAAAGGAAGTCATTGGGTTATTGATTGATTGATCGATCGATGGATGAGTGGGTGAATGAATGAATCGGTGACCTTTGGACCAATCGATCGATTATTGGATTGGGTGTTGGACATTTTGGTAATCATCGGTTAACTATTTAAATTGTTAATTAATTAATTAATTAGCTAACCAAAAAAAAGTAATAGATAAAAATTGTTCTTTTTTTAAAAAAAAAAATATAGATAAAAAATTATTTCTTAAATAATTATATAAATATATCTTTATAATAAATTTTTAAAATTTTTGTTTTAAATATATATATTATTTCATTATTAACATTTGTATAGAATATTTATTTTAGTCATTAATTATATTTGCAGAATCGATTTCCTAGTTTTAATTTTAGAAACATCTAATTTAATTTTATTTAATTGTATTTTTTTTAATTATAATTTGTTAATTATTAATTATTAATGTTATTATATATATATATATTATTTTAATGAATTAGTGATTTATATATATATACGTATATAGGTATATAAAATATAATTTTTGTTATATAACTAATGTATGTGAAGATTGAAAAATTGTTCATTTAAAAATTCATAAAATTTTTTTAATCGACGAAATGAGATCGCTGCCATTCTTTTTCTCTTCAATGTCATTTATCCAACTAACCACTCTTTCACAACTACGACGAAAATCATAAGCTTTAGGAACGGTCCCAATTTCAATAAATTGATTTGTTTGTTGAATTCCAAATGTTAATTTGTCCCTGATCTGAGCACATGATAGCTCTAATAGTTTTGGTGCTTCGTCATGAACCCATAAAGGAAACATGGATTGTTCAATAGTATTCATGGTGATTAATCTAATTACTGGCAGATTGTTGTTGCATCTAGATTCACATAAGTGTTTCTTTGTGTTAAATCTTGGATCATAGGCTATTACAAAATTAAAATGTTGCTATTATAAAAAATACATACATTAGAAAATTTTATTAACATAGATAATTAATTCATTCACTAAATATATATATATTGTCATAACTTACACATTCAAGTGACTTGACTTCATCTGTAACAAATATATAAAAAATCATTTTATCATTCACTTTCTTATTCTCATAATTGCGATTATAAAGCATACATTGGAATCCTTCTCGCCTCAAAAAATCACTCATAATATCCTACACACAAAAATCAACAAAAAAAAAATTTTTAAACATTAATTGAATAAAATAATTGAAAAATAAAATAAAATTTTTACCATCATTTTCAAAACAGGAACTGAAATTCCTATTCTAAAGTTTATTTCCAAATCTTTTAAAATACTTAAAAAGTATTTCAAAACAATCAATTTACCACATTGGTTTTCATTTCTAAACCAATTATGCAATGTTGATGATAAATCTGACGAGATATAAAGAGAAACATGGTTAAGAACAGATAATAATGAATTATGCACACTCAATATCAAAGATCTGGCTTCTGGTCTTTCTAGATACTCTGATTCGTTTAAACACTCGTATAATTCCGGATTACTGATTATTTTATGATAGATCTTTTGCTGTAAATATGTTATTGTTGTAGGTATCGAAACGTTATAATTTAATAAATTTGCTGGACTTTTATTGAATTGATCACAGTGTAACAAACTATTCGTATTCTTAGTATAGCTATTAATATTTTCCTCCACCTCTATCTCATCATCATCATCATCATCATCATCGACATCATCATTGGTCGTTTGCTTCGTCTTAAAATATGAATTTTGTCTCATAGGAAACGTTTTTATTTTTATATTTGATGATTTTATAGGCCCCACTTTTCCGACATTAACGTTATTATCATCTTCACTACTGTAGTCAATATTCAACCTGCACGTTTCTCTTTTCCTTTTATTATTAGGAGTTGTTGTTGTTTTAAAACTACTACTATCACTAAAATTGTTAAGAGTTGGTGATCTCCCTTTCTTCTCATTATCATCAACAGTAGTAGTAGTAGCAGGCTTTGTTTCTTCCCAGTGTTTAATTAATTCAGCATTACAAAAGCTTTCTGGTTCCTATTAAAAATTATTAAAAATAAGATAAACGATATACATATAAAAATAAACGTTTATCATATTTAGAATATTTGTTACCCATGTTGACGCCCATTTTCTTCCATGATCGTCTGTACCCTCCCATCTAACCAAAAAGTATTTTTTACCTTTCTCTACTTTCTCGTTAAGTATACGATCAGCTTCATAGTATATAACTTTTTGCGCTGAATTCTTTCTTGGCATAATTATTATTGTTGTTTTTTTCTTTCTCTTCTATAAAAAATTGATGATGGATGAACCAGAAATTCTGATTTTCTTCCCAAAATGGAAAATCATCACAAAAACATTATCACATGATAAGGGGGACGCGTCTATACTATATTTATATAATAATAGGTAGGTGCCAGCCGGCCAAGGCGCAAAATGCCAATTACAATTACAATTGAAATTTTACCGGAAGCAATAGATTTTCCGGTCGTAGGTCATCATGCAATTAAAATAGTAATGTAAAAAAATCTACTAATATATATTAATATTTTTTTTAAAACGACGTAATCTTGTCGTGACATTTATTAATTTAAAAATATGTAATACATATAAAAAATTTAAATTATTTACAATGCACAACTCCCCCTTTTTTACCATAGAATGATATTAATATTAATTATTTATCAATTTGTAAAGGTCACGCCACGTGATTAATGATTTTTCTACCAAAAGCTACATTTTAAAAGAATTCCAAAGAAAAAAGAACTGCAATAATAATAAAATGGGGCATACTGCAAAACCAGACAAAGCAAACATTGGTATTACTATCGTTAGTGTCACTATTTATTACTAATCTAGTCAAAATAGGAACATTCAACAAGCTGAAGTAATTCAGAATAAAATAACAAGTCTATAAATGAATGCAATGTGAGCATGTGACACACTTTTTTCTCTGTATATATAAGAATTATTTGTATGAAAATCAATATTACTATTAAATTAGAGATTGGAATCTTTGACTGATTAATTGGTCAAAAAATGATTGATTGAAAAATATTAATTGATTAATTAGAACTTTTTGTTTTAATTATTCTTTTTAGGAAGTAAACAATGATTATTTTGTTAACATTTAAGACTGTTTTAGTTGTAATGAACAAACATTTTGATGATTAGTAAAGGTTTCAGTTAGTTCAAAAAATATATAATGGTTGCATTCTCTTCTTTTTGCTTTTAAAATTTTTAAAAATAAATTGTTCTAATAAATAAATGATAAGTTATATCGGATAACCTATATTAAGTCAATTAGCTGGAAAATTTTTGGTGATTCCATCAACTTTAGTGGCTGGCGAAAGATTATTTAGTGATATTGGTAATAATATTACTACTGATTTAAGGGTAGGGGGGATCGCATGTCAATTTATATGTGGATTGGCAGCTCAAAAATCTGAATTATACAAGTTGCATAATAAAAGTTGTTATTAATCTAAAAAAAAATTTGTCTCAAATTTTCTTTTCTAAATGCAACAATAATTTTCGTGTTACAATATTTTGAATCTCACGACCCAATTTGGTAATGATTTTTTAATGTAATATGTTCGTTAAACTTTTTGTTGTAAAGAACTTTTATTTATTAATAAAAAATAAAAAAATCAAATAAATCAAATGTATGTTGTAGAAAATATTATATGAAAAAAGTTGTTACACGAAATTTACTTAGTCTCAGTTTCTTAAGTGTATAACAAAATTTGGAATTTTCAAAATGCTAAGGCTCAGCCAATTTTCAGTTTAAGAAAAAACCAGTTGATAAGTTTGAAGCTTGAGTCATGAACAATAAAACTTATTGGTTAAATTTTTTTTTTTGTTTTAGTATTTTGAAGTTGACCAATTGTTACTATCCCTTAAACGAACAAAAATTTAGACCATATTTGGTCTAAAATTTCAAATTTTTGTAGACCCATTCTAAACAACAAGTTATCATTTGTTCCCCATTTTTTTTTTTGATTTCTAAATAGACAAAAAGGTATGGTTTATGCATATAAACCATTTTATTTGATTGATATTTTGGG